TTTTTTTTTTTTTTTTTTTTTTTTTTTTTTTTTTTTTTTTCCTTGAAGAAAAGGGTAATGCATTAATGCACACCGCCGAAACAGTGGTAGTGTTAGACTTGGTAGATTTTTTTTTTTATTAGCCCACCCATACTCAATAAAACAACCCCTAATGCCGCGTGGCTTTTGTTACACCCCTGAATCGCGTTAGCATTACTTCAGGACGGAGCCAGCAGGGAGACCATCGCATCTCACAGCATTAACGAGCTAACTCGCCACCATTTGCTAGAGGTGCTGATCCTCTCAAGTCCTGAAAAAGACTCGGGGTCCCTAAGGACCAGCACCCTATCTAGCGCTCCATAGTAGGACGCTGACCTAGCAAGCACCACTATAAGCTTGATGCTTTCCCTTGCTGATGGGTAAAAGTACCCAGCGCAGCGTGAGTTCACATTGGCCTGCCTTCCAACTCAAGGCCCCTTTGCTTTCTTTTTGTCCTGCTTGGGTCTTACTTCTGGCCTCTTCTAGCGCTCTTCTAAATGAAGGGCAGCTTCCACTGCCTGCTTCGTGCTTGTTGTCCGTTGTTGGGCAAAGAAAGCACAGCGCTGGGCCTAAACACAGTGGTTTGAGCTTTCACACCGGAAGCAAAGCTTGGATCTGTTTTCTTCCTTAGAGTTGCCAGAGACGTGTCCATATCCCAGGCATTTGTAACATCTTGTTACTTCAATTCTTCTTCGAATTCGGCAGCTTACAAAGTCGACTATTAACATGCCTTCCTCTTCTGCTTGTCTGGCAGTTGTTTCGTCTACCGTTATCAACGCCAGCCTCTGTTCTCTGGCATTTGATTTTGAGAGAGGTACTTCTGGCTTCATGTTCCTAAGTCCAAAAGTCTTAGCGAAAGCTGTTTTTACCTTATCTTCGTCTACAATAGCATCCGGGTCTTGGACCTCTAGTGTCACTTTTTTCTGGTTTATTTTGACAATACCCTGTCCGGCTACCGACTTTTCAATTTGCTGTGAGAATGCAATAGCATTCTCTAAGCCTTTGGCCTTGATAAGTATGTCTTCTTTTTTAGTAGTGACAACACTTTGGACTGCCACATTAGCCTTGTCAGGGTCAAAGATTGCCTCCATCGTTTTTAGCACCTTTGCAAAGGTCTGCCCTTCAGCCATCTTTACTACTACTGTTGTTGTCGCATCCACTTTTTTCTTCTGGCTTGCTTTTTCATTCAGGAGAACTTCTTCTTGTTTGCCACTGCCTGTTTTCTTTTTTTTTCAAGACATGGTTTGCTGGCATTTCTCAGGGCTGTCCGATGGGCTCCGGTTCCTTGTACTTCGTTCTTTGTTCTTTAGGGCAGTATTCAGGATTTTTTTCTATACATGCCGTCGGAAATTATGTCGCCTTTATTCCTTCCACTTCAGGGTTTCAAATGACGCCTTCCAAGAGTTTGCAAACACTTCTTCTTCAGAAAAAAAGCCTTTTCTTATTACCTCCGCCTCTTCGAAGTGTTTAAGCGCAGCTTTGAGTCCATTTTTAACAGCTTTCGCTGTGTTACCGTTCTTATTGTTGATTGCTTGTAGCGT